ACACGAAGCCATTGCCAAAGTAGCTGCCGCTCTTGCTTCCCTTGCCGGAGCCACCGTCGACGAGTAGTTTTTGTAGGCGTCGCCGGGCGCATTTGGGTTCTTGAAGACTTGGGCATAGCCGTGCAGCGACACGACCAGGTGGGTAATGCGCAGCGGCTTGACGATCTTGATGATGACGGTTCCGCTGATGACGTCGCCAGGCGCGTAGTGGCGATGTGGGTCGTCGGACTGGATGTAGAACTCGGTGTAGTTGCGCGACTTGGAGGACAAGGGCGACTTGAGGCGGGACAGGAACGATCGGCTCGTGACTGGGGAGGATGGGGCGGCGGAGGTGCGTTTTTGGCTGGAAGTCATACTCCGTGGACTGCGCGCATGGTGCGGCTGCCCGCAACGAGTGTAGAAGGGCGAGGGGCGACTGCGCAGGCGGGAGGGAGCAGAGACGGGAGGGAGTTGCGAAGCGGCAGAATACGGAACGGGCTGGGCTGGACTGGGCTGTGCTGGAGCAGCAGCGTTGTGGCTGCGGTGGGTAGCGGCCGGGAGCGATGCGCAGCGGGCCGGCGATGGGTCGAGGGAACGGGGCTAGGCGGTGCAGTAGGAGGAGAGCAGCGGCGGCGGCAGCAGCAGCAGCACAGCAAGGGCAGCGGGCAGCGGCAGTGGGCGAGGACGCGCGATCAGGAGTTGGGCATATGGCGCCGTGGTCCTCGGGCGGCTGCTTCAGGGCTGGCGCACTCAACAGCGACGCGCAACTGTCTCAGGTCGGCTGGGGGCTGTGGGGAGGGCGGCGAGCGGCGGCGATGGTGGCAAACTGGATAGCCCAAGGCTCTGGTCAGCATTGCGGACGGCCGTGGTGGGCAGAGGAGCGGCCTTTGCAGAGGTATGTGCAGAGGTATGTGCAGAGGTATGGCGGGCGGCGGGCGGGGGAGAGGAGGCGAGGGCGATGATGGGTGGCAGTGCTGTGTCTAGCGCGAGGGAGGGCAGCCTGACGAGCACGGCGCCGTCGAGAGAATGAGGTGAGGCTCGCTGCACGGACTCGGGCTGCCGCATCGAGTAGATTGCGAGGGCGGCGGCGGCAGCAGCAGCAACAACAGCGGGCATGGGAACAGCAGCAGGAACAGGAACAGGAACAGGAACAGGAATCGCTACTGATGGATCGTCACGGTTACGTACCACCGGGCGCGCGCGCAAGGCTTGTTCGAGAGCCGCAGCGCTCTTGGCTGCCAAGTCGTCAAAGCAGCACAAGGATGGCAGCGCGTGCGTCGTTGGGTGAAGTCGAGCCTTGCCAAGGAGCGAGGAACACACACAATGGACGTATATATGTATATATATATGTATATGTATATGGCGACGAGGGGTGCGGGCGGCGGGCAATGGATGGGAGAAACGGCCAGGCCAGCGGCGAGGTGGTGCAAAGGAGGCGGGTGACAACGAGCTCTGGGGCTGCTTGGGGTGGTGGCTGCCAGCTAAGTATGATTATTATTTGTTACGAGCTGGCGACGCTTCCCTTCCCTTCCCTTCCATCCCTCCCTTCCCTCCCTCCCCAGCCTGGAATAGGGCCCCGTGCTCACGCTGCTCGCCATCGACGTACGCACTACTCGTCTGTCCGGACATACTACGTACGTACCTACTCCACATGAATCGGGGCGTCTTCTCCCTCACATCTCCACATGGTGCCTTTGGGCTCTTGCTGTCGCCTTGCCGCCTTGCCGCCTTGCCGCCTTGCCGCCTTGCCCACGCCTAACCGCCCGCATGCCTCGTATCCCCTCTTGGCCGGCTGCTTCTAGCGCCGCCAGCTGCACTTTCTATCAACCTCACTCACGCCAATGCTCCCTCGCCCTCGCGCCCACACGCCCACACACACACACACACACACCCCGGGCCTGCACAGCACCACACGCCGCCCTCGACGCCCTCGACGCCCTCGACGCCCCCTCTGCACATGCATCCTGCTCCGCGGGGCTGAACCCATGTCGTGCTACGCTGGTAGCGAGGGGCTGACCCGCTGGGGTCTCGACTGGCAGCTTGATCACCACCCCAGCGTCGGATCGTAGCTAAGCTTCGATGCCAAGCAGACCCGTAATGCTTGGTAGTGGCACATTAGTGCGACGCTCTGGTTTGGCCATGCCCGCAGTCTCAATGGGGTAATGTTTAGAAACTGCTTGCTGACGCCTCGCCACCACTTGGGACTAGCCCTCGCCCGCTCTCGCCCTCAAGGCTGGCCAGCCGCGGGGAGCACCTGGACTGTCGTCTGCCTTGACATGGCCGAGGAGCTATCCATTGTCGCCAAACACTGCTATTCTGACACCTGTCTTCCCTCTCCCTCCATCCGCCCGCCCGCCCCTGCTGCGGTGCCAAATCCTTCTCCTTCGCCCACCAGCTGCAATGCCCGCTTTTCCCTCTCCACCTTCATGCATAAGACACTGCCCGTCGTCAGCGGGGTAGCACATGTACCGAGCCCAAGTCACGACGAGCCTGTTGAACCTTGCCTTGTCCCCGTGCCCACTGCCGGTTTCAGCAATGTTGTATTGTGTTAATGCCGCCGTGTTAGCCCCGCCTGGCCAATGAGCTCTTGCAAAGACCGTCAAACGTTTGATGACACAGTGTAGAGACGTGACAGAGTCGCTCGCTGAGGAAAGTCGCTCGCCGGAGATGACGTCTTCGGAGTCGTGCGGCCGTGCCTGCGTGCTTACTTGGGCGCTTTCCCGGACGAAAGACCATGCGAGACCTTTTCGGCGCCATTGTTCCCAATCAACGGGCCATTTCCCTTGGTGGGCGGCTCGGCCTGCTATTTGTAGCCATGTCTCCTCCATCAACAAGGGCCGTTGACGGGAACGCTATGCTTTGTCAAGGCTGGTAGCACATGAGACAGCTGCACGGATGCCAGCGGAATCATCGGCCTTCTCCATTTCCAAATAGTATTCAATAACAGCGGTACGTGCGGTGCCACCGCCGCCCTCCTCTACGCTGCGGCCTACATGAAGTTGTTAGTGTAGTGGATTGGATGTCCGGGTTGAGCCATTTGTGCGTGACGGCGGGCTAGCTGGCTGCCTGTCCTCATGTACGCCCGGGCACACATGGCGGGCCCATGTCGGCATGCCGGGAGAGGCAGTCGGTGGTGTTGAGTGTACATAGGCAGGTACATGCGAGGAGCTTGAGGTCGTCGTGCTGCAAGGCTGCGAGGCTGCGAGGCGGTTGGTCAGGCCTGCAGGGCCGCTTGGACCGCTAGCGCATGATGACATCGCCGATACTGGCGGATTCCTTCCTCCAACGCGCAACACACGACCCGCAACGCCAACGCTGTCTATGGCGATTCCACTCTGATCTTGGCAATGGTAGATAGAAACAACAGGACGTGTCCGGCCCAGAGCGACGATATCTGGGGCACCTCACGGCCACGCGATGTCCGCCTCCAGGTCTACCTCTCCCTGACACTCGGTGTGGGAGCATTCCTAGTCTTTTGCGTACGTCCTGCCCGACCTGTCTGCCCATATGCCTGCTGACTAGCTGCAGTTCCTTCGCCCGCGCTGGAAAGGCCTTTATGCGGCGCGCAAGAAGCAGAACAGCCTCCAGACGGCGCTGCCCGACCTCCCCGACAGCTTTTTTGGCTGGATCATACCGCTATGGAAAATCACCGACGAACAGGTGCTGGCATCGGCTGGCCTCGATGCTTACGTATACCTCGCATTCTTCAAGATGGCAATCAAGTTTCTGCTCATCACGCTCTTCTTCGCCCTCGTCATCATCAAGCCGGTGCACGACACCCACCAGGACAAAGAGGGGAAGAAATCCCCTATTCATACTGACCCCAGCAACGAACACGTCGAAGTTCGCGCCACATTTACCACATTTGCCGCCGAGTATGAGCGCTACACCGACTACCTGTGGATGTATCTTGCCTTTGTCTACCTCTTCACCGCCCTTATACTATACTTGATTGTCTCGGAAACAAGACGCATCATTGAAATCCGCCAAGAGTACCTGGGCAGCCAGACAACTATTACCGACCGAACTATCCGACTTTCCGGTATCCCAGTCGATCTCCGCTCCGAGGACAAGATCAAGGACTTCATCATGGATCTTGGCATTGGAAAGGTGGAGAGTGTGACGCTGTGCAGGGACTGGAAAGAGCTAGACCAAAAGGTCATTGAAAGGCAGGCTATTTTGCGAAAGCTCGAGGAGGCCTGGACGGTCCATCTCGGCAGCCGAAGGGTGGAGCGAAGCCTAGAAACACTCCCGGTGGTCCAGCCACCACCACCAGAGCCCGTAGTCGACGGCTCCACCAACGACGAGGAGGCCAGTCATTTTTTGAGCGAATCTGAACGCGACCCCGACCACGTGATTCCGTATGCCCAGCGGCGTCCAAAAACCAGAATCTGGTACGGCCCCTTGAAGCTGCGATTCAAGACGGTGGATGCCATTGATTACTACGAAGAAAAACTGCGACGCATGGACGAGACGATCCGAGCTCTGCGCAAGAAGGAGTTTGAGCCGATGCCTCTGGCGTTTGTGACAATGGACAGCGTTGCGAGCGCTCAGATGGCCATTCAGGCCGTACTCGACCCTTCGCCATTGCAGCTCTTAGCGAACAACTGCCCAGCACCATCTGACGTTGTCTGGCGGAACACGTATCTGACTCGCGGAAAAAGAATCTGCAGGGCCTGGGCCATCACCGTCGTCATCGGCGTACTAAGCGTCTTCTGGACGGTTCTTCTAGTGCCCATTGCCGGTGCTCTCAACACATGTTCCATCCATGAGGTTTTTCCAGGGCTGGCAGCGGCATTGGAGAGAAACAAGACTCTTGAATCTCTTGTCAACACCCAGTTGCCCACGCTAGCGCTTACCTTGATCAATGTTGCCGTACCTTTTCTATACGACTGGCTTGCAAACAAGCAAGGCATGATCTCACAGGGCGACGTTGAGCTATCGGTCATCTCGAAGAATTTCTTCTACACTTTCTTCAACTTCTTCATCCTGTTCACCATACTAGGAACAGCCTCTGGGTTCTTGGCCATGCTGGAGCGCTTCGCCGAAAAACTAACCAGCGCCACCGAGATTGCCTATGCTTTGGCCACCTCACTATCCAACCTGCTGGGATTCTACACAAATTTCATCATTCTCCAAGGGTTTGGCATCTTTCCATTTCGACTCCTGGAATTTGGCGCCCTTTCCCTATACCCAGTCTACTTGATCGGTGCCAAGACACCTCGCGATTATGCTGAACTTGTCCAGCCTCCCGTCTTCAGCTACGGCTTTTACCTGCCACAGACGATTCTCATTTTCATCATCTGCATGGTGTACAGTGTGTTGAAAGACTCTTGGCAGGTGTTGCTGACTGGCTTGGTCTACTTCATGATCGGTCATTATGTCCACAAGTACCAGCTGTTGTATGCAATGGAACACCGACAACACTCGACTGGAAAGGGCTGGACAATGATGTGTGACCGTGTCATCATAGGCGCGGTGCTTTTCCAAATCACAGTTGCCGGTCAACTGGCTCTGAAGAAGGCGTTCAAGCGAGCCGTGCTCGTGGCACCGCTCGTCATCGGCACCTTGTGGTTTTTGTTCGTATTTGCACGCACCTACCGGCCGCTGATGAAGTTCATCGCTCTCAAGAGCCTGCGACACCCGGGACGATCAGACCTCGGCCGCGATGTCCAGGAAGAATCCTTTGCTGCCAGGCGAAATGGCCGGAGGGTCATGGGCAGACTCACCTTGGACGAAGCTCGCGAGAGTGGTCTGCGATTTGAGAACCCAAGTGTGGCTATGCCGTATGTATTATCTTCTGCAAAGTAAATGACCAACACTGACCCGTTTCCAGACTCGAAGGCCCCTGGATCAACAAGCGTGTCAGACACGCAAATGGATCGGATAGCTCCGTCATCGACGGAGCAAACGGTGTTTGGGACTGATCAGAATGCACCTTCCACGTTACCACGCTCACGACGCACCTTCACGCATGCATCTTACCGTCTTGCTTTCCTGTAGCGCGCTTTGCTCCTTCTCTCGCTTGTGCTTTGTTGATACCCATATACGCAACGAAATTGGTTACGAGTTTACGGCATCTTTACTTAGCGAACATCATCCAGTCACTGCGCAATCATACTCCCCCTCAATACCATCTCTATACACTACAATACATATTCTTTAGCACCATCGTCCCATTGAAACCACCTTCTTCTGCACAACGACAAACTTCACCTTCCTGCCCTTGTGACCGACTTGACTTGCTCCAATACCGGCGGTGCACCTCCACCTCGGGGGTGCCACAACCACGTCCTCACAGATTTACCTGTCGCGGGGAGTAGCCGGTACCAAATCTGAGCCAGTGCTTCCTATTTACGATTCCGAGCCTGTTCAGGTGGCGTTGTATTTTGAGTCTCCTACTGCGCAGAGACTGTTTCTCAGTACGCCCCACATTTGCAACGAACCGACGACCCATACCCAGGAGCATATGGCCCCGAGTTCCGTGCTCTTAGACGCGAGTGTGCCATGTCCGACTGCAGAGCAACCAACTACGTCAAGTAATACCAAAGATACACATTCTTCGCTACCAAAGCGGCCAGAAATCCTCCGCCACGTTTTTCCACGTCCGTCACGAAGTCGAACTTACACTCGCAAAGCTGTTCGTCGTATCAACAAAGCAGAATCTCCCGACCATGCACTCACATCGAGACGACCGAGATCGAGAGTTGCCTTTCACAGGTACATCGCGGCCTTGTTTGGCGGGGCCTCAGATCGCACTGCAACCATAGCTATCCCCGAGACACGATCTAGAGCTTCCAGCTTTGGATCCAAACCAGAATCACCACGACACGGACCTGTACCCAGTCTTGATTTTGTAACTCCCGCTGCATTCATGTTCAGTGGGCCAAGCCTCCATTCTGCAGGATCATACAGCGACTCAACATCTCGACTTCCAAGTCTTGCGGAGTCGAGCAGTGAGATGCAGCTATGGCATCGAGTGCGGACAGACTCTTTTTCAATTATCGATGATGCCAACACCGTGGTAGAAGTGATTCTGGAGCCTGAAGCCGACCAAGGTATTACTCGCGCTGTTTCCCATGTCTTACTGGATAGCAACGCTTCTACTCAAGAAGCAAATCTACTGCCTCAAAACAACAGGCAAGTTGCAGCAGAACACTCCATCACCAAATCCGGATGTAGGTCAACTTCAACCTTTGCCTCTCTACTCTTACCTCATCTCGATACCTCTGCATACAAGGCGTTAAGGTTGACCAATCGCGCGTGGTATCTGGCTCTGTGTGTTGCCGCACCGCCAATTTCTTCGAAATCATTCCACTTGCCAGTCGAGATTTTGCACTGCATATACAATTACCTTGGCCCTAAGGACTTCAACGCTGCACGTCACACATGTCGAGATTGGATGAGGGCCAGTCTCGATAAGAATCTCCTAATCACAATGCTGAGCAGAGGTGGCTGGCTGAGTACTATTGACAATAAAGCTTTCACAAACTGTCCTGCTACTCAATACCCTGCTGATTCGACCACTCCATCGAGCGAAGAATGGCTACTCAGTTGTCGTATTTCTCGAGAGTGTGCCTTGGCCCCAGGCTGGACCGGTAACGGGTTCACCACTGGGGCTGTGTTTGCCAAGAGCTTTGAAGTCGATTTCACCGAGCTGACTGACGGGTTTGCCAATGGTATAATCTTCGCAAGCAGTCTCTGCTCTCGGTTCCTGTGCGTAGCTCGTGGAGCGCTGATCTACATCTACAACCTTGAACGTGGTCACCCTGTGCCCATTACCAGTGTGGTGTGTCCAAGACGTGTCCTTGCAATAAGTATGGATGTCTCTTGTGGCCGACATGCCATTGCTGCACTTTTGGAAGGACGAATGGGAATAGTGTGCGAACTTGGATACGGTGTAGCGACCGGAGAGAAAAATGCCGTCGATCCTCTGTGCGAAAGCAGTGGACAGCAAGCAAGCGACCTACACATGGCCTCTGCAGATACCAATCTTACCAGCGAACAATCTCGCCCTTTTATTCAGGAGCGAGATGATGCATGCTTTGACGCAATCTACATTCGGTCAAACAACCAAAAGGTGAGCCTTCGGGGTACCGATAATGACCGAAATCACGACCAGCATCTCATTAATCGCGCGTGGAATTTGGACTTTCGTGGCTCTTTCGGAATACCAAAAGCTCAGACCTCGGAATCACAGTGTTGTACTGGCAGCATACCGATTGAGAGTGGGACCTCGACAATCTATCGTCATCTTTGCTCTGAAGATGATCCACCGCGGAGCGTCTCAATCTGTCCCCAACGCCGCTGTGTGGCTTTTGGCTGTTCAGCGGGTATTGAACTGCACTGGATAGATGCTCTTACAGGCCAGAGCCTGAGTCGATGGTTCCCTCTGACTGCACCAAGTCAGTGTGTGCCCCTTGCACAAACCATATTTGCTCACATTGAACAGGCGACCACCTCTATTTCCTGCCACCTCGACCTGGATTTGAGTCTGCGAAAAAGTTGCGTTTGATTTCCAGTGCAGCACACCCCCGAGATCGACCTTCCATGACACGTGGATTCTTCAATCGACCAAGCCTAGGCGTTTTCTGGGGTTCTTTCGGTTCCGAGTCAGCGTCTTCTCCTCCAGGCTCGCCGAGCTGTGATCATTATCACGCGATTCCGTTAAGCGATGGGTACCATGCCTTATTCATTGATCCATCGAGCGGTCGGCTAGCCCTGGGCTGTAACGCGCCCCTCGGCGAACCTACTAAGCTCCTGCGCAAGATTGTGTTTGTCCCGCCCAAGCATAAATCAACGCCAAGATTGTACAGTGCAGCAGCAGACTTGTCACAGGGTGTGCGTGTTGCTGTAGCTTATGACGATATCATCATGCTGTACAGCATCCCACTAGACGTGTACCGGTTCTCGCGCATGGAGAAGAGGGCTAAGAGCTGGTCTGACTACGAAGCTGATACGAATGTCGATGTCAGCCAGAGGGACCATTGGCTCAACTAGTGGGACGAGCCATGCATGTCTGATTCCACAACACAAGGCGAGTGCTACAAACGGGGTCCGGTGTGGCCACTTGCCATCAGCGGGACAGAGGTGACCAGATTGGCGGACGTGTGCGAGATTTCTGTTCAGACGCAGCCGGAGCTCTTGATCTGGGCCTTTACGCGGTCTGCTCGCTGCGAGACATGGCGCATGCAGAATCACATGGACCCTAGGCTGTGCGCCAAACTCGCAACATGTAAGCACGGCATTGTACACGATAACCTCTGTGCAGACGAAGACGGACATGTTTTCATGACCGACGCACGGCAGACGCGGCCCGCCAATGACGAGGTGGACGTTGATTTTGTCGGAAACAGCACTGGAGCGTGTCTAGCACCCCGGCGTGGCATTGGGGGGTACGACGGCAGTGCATGTGGTGTGTTGTCGAAGATGCCCCGGGCGCTGGCGGTGGAAAACGACGAGTGGGTCGACTATGTGGATGTGAGAGGGTGTGTGGAAGCGTGGTACGATGGCCATGGCGACGTGGTCATGTGGCATGGATTTTGAAGGCATGAATGACGTGGCGGTGACTGGAGGAATGCATACACATCCTCTTTTCTAATGACCTAGATACCTTGATCCTAATTATCACCAACTAGTAAAGTCGAATCACATTAAGCTTTTCTTTTCTTTTTTTCTTTCTCACTTTACCATTTCAAAAGTCACAATTTACATACTACGTACGTAGCCAGATGAAATTTGTACATAGTAGTGATGCGATGATGAGTGTGTATGTATGTTATAGCAATTCGCCCTTGTCTCATCTCATAATCATACTTTCTCATCTCTTTCCTTGAAGTCTCCAGCTTCTTATTTCGTTTCTACATATCTAGCATGTACTATTTGTGTAACTGTGGAGAAGAGGATTCCCAGATGTGTGTGTGTGTGTGTGTGTGTATCTGTACTTGTATTTCTTACTTTTTTTTCTTGGTGTTATATTCGTTTGTTTATTAATTTGTGGATATACATGGATATCTTGATATAGTAAGACATAATGATACTATGCGGGAGAAGAGGGGTTTTTTGTTTGTTTGTATGTATGTATGTATGTATGTATGTATGTATGTATGTATGTATGTATGTATGTATGTATGTATGTATGTATGTATGTATGTTTAACTTGGATATTATAGACTATCTGTGTAAGATACATTATCGACGGTATTCTCAATCCAAATATTTGGGTTTACCATGTGTTCTGGGTGTGTGGAGATTACATTGTAGGGTGAGATGTAAGCAATTTCCTTTTTCTTCTTCTTCTTCTTCTTCTTCTGCTGCTGCTGCTGTTGATAAGAGAACGAAGGGTTATTTGTGTAGTAGTTGGTTTTGTATGCGTATGATGGGGTATTCTACACCTATATTTACACAGCCGTGTGATGATGATAGATAAGCAGTGTTGTTCACGTATCTGCTCATGTGAGCGTGTATACTAGACCGTTTGTAACCATTCCTTCTTGGCTTTTACTTTGCATAGCTGTGCCGTTGTATTCGCGTTGGTTAGATTTGCGGATAAACAACAAAGCTATGTGTATACTAGTTTATGCTAGCCAAGTGGTATACCGCTTCTTTCTTTTCTTCTTTTCTTCTTTCTTTCTTTCTTTCTTTCTTTCCTTTGTTTTTTGAATAGTAACGAGATGGACACGAATCCAGGGTTGTAAAATATACAGCTCACCACGTGCATGTTAACAAGTGATGTATTAGCGTTTCCTCTTGAGACGGTTTCTGATTTGGACACGACTAAAAAGTGCTTGTGTTGGACTACTATACTGTACCGTGTGCACGTGCACTTTACCAATGTACTCGAGAAAAACTAATCAGTGTGCTTGTAGCTAGGATGAATACGGCATATGAGATGTGTACCCTACATACATAGCATACATACCCAGTCGATTTTTTTGCCATAGGCAGTCACCTGAGTACCTTGACTAGCTCTTTCGTTGGTTTGTTCGTGTTGTGATTGTTTTTCTTCTTCTTCTTCTTGTACACATACACACCGCATTTCTTACTGTTAATCAACAAATCAACAAAATAACAAAACATATACAACTCAGCAAGCAAGTAAGCAAGCAAGCGAGGGAGCGAGGGTAGTGTACCCTATCTCGCTAGCGTCGTCTTTACACACCGCATTGTGACGATACATGAATAAATAGATATCTAGACAACATAGCGAAGAGAGAGAGAGAGAGAGGGTAGTGTACCCTATCTCTACACTAGCGGCTCCTCACTCACATAGCACGTGCCACCCAAAGCACCTCTTCGGTTCCGTTTCTTGCATGTATCCATGCCTTCTGCATTAGTGTATGTGTGTGTGTGTGGGATGCAGCTTCTTCAGTCAATGTCCAGGTCAAAGCACATGGTTGTGATTGTTATTTTCTTACTACATGTCTCATACGACAACTTGTCGCCTCCTTCCATTTCCAGTTGAATTCCCGGCAATGCACGCCCAACAAACATGATTGGTTGTAACAAGATATTCCCAATAAAGCATGGTACATATTCATACACCCAACACATATATACCATACACACACAACAATAACAACAAGAAGCTAGTGGATTTGGGGATTTTCCAAATACGTAACGAGAAATTGCGGGTACAAACTCAATTCATTAAGATTTCCTTCTTCCCTACCTTGTTTATTTATTTATTTGTTTATGGGTTTGTTTTTCTTCTTCTTCTTCTTCTTCTACAACTACCTCTTTCGGATATCCCGAACTAGCCAGTGCGGCAGCAAGCTTGGTTTGTAGACATGTAGGTGCGCGTGGGGGCGTTGAATGGAGAGGAGGGGGTTGAGTGTTGTTGTTGGTTTAAACCACGGACAGCAGGGGCGGGTAATACAAAGCAAGGCAGACTGGTGGTCGAGCCAAGGTTGAGAGCGAATACGGGCAGGCGGCGAGGCGAGGCGAGGAAGTCTGTGCGGGCACGGAACGGAAGCCCGGAGTTCGGTAATTTCCGCGTCGGGAGGAACAGGGCGATGTTGGTGGTGTGCCGCGCGCGCTGTCTTTTGTTCAGTGTTATGTAGGCATTTCCGTCGTGTCAATGGGTCTTTTTTTTTTGCTTTGCTTTGCTTTGTAATGCTGATGCTTTGCTGTCTGTTGTCCCACGTGTTCAAAGGGTCGTGACAGATTGGTTGATTTTTCATTGCGTGTATTTCTAGTAGAATTATTTTTCATATTGGGAAACTCCTGCTAAAAAAAATTCAGTGACCGCCCTGGAAGGCGGAATGGAGCAATACTTTTATTGGTCTCGACACATCAGTCGGTCAGAGGGGAGTAGGGAAAAATCAGGTCATTTAATCCATGTGCCAGGCCCAGTTCAGGCATTGATCGGGTAAAGGAACCTGGACATGTCAATGGACAAATGGCTGCTGCGACGGCTACAAGATCACCAAGCATAACATGTCAAGTTTTGAACTTGGCAATGGGGATTAGGCGCACGACTTATACGGGGAAGAAGCAAAATGTCCGACCAATGCAGGCAAGGCTGACGAATCGGCCTGTGGTTGAGGGCGACGAGGATGTGCATCCTACAACGGTGTCGCCGGGGCTTACTTTTTTAGCATGCAAACAGAGCAGACGTGTCGAACAGCATGTTTACAGGGCGATTGCTAAGACGGGGACAGTGGACTATAGGGCATGCAGATGAAGCGAGATTAGCAGAGGCGATTCGTCCGAAGCGGGACAGTTTCCTGGTCGTTGTGGGCAACACGTAATGGCAGAGCTAAAGGACCGAACGAGGCCTGGGGCAGTATGACGGGCTGGAGGCGAGCTGAAGGCGATCCATCTGAGCCCCATGTGCGTGTTGAGATGCAGGCCGAGGGTGGGCGATAGACGAAGGCCCCAGAGTTTTTTTTTCTTTTTTTTTGCGCGCACGACATGACGCGTTCGCAAGCGGGGTGGTGAAGGGGAGGCTGCAAGCATGGAGAGGCGTGCGATGCATGGAGGCAGATGCAGACGCGGCAGGCAAGAGGCTGGATGGGGGCGAGGGGCGGGAGGGCTAGCGAGGGCGGCGTCATGTCCTGCAGCAACACTGATGCGCTACATGTCCATTGGGGGGGCACGGGTTTCGGGGCAGCAGCCAACAGCGGTTGCCAGGTGGTGTGTGCAGTCTATCGACGGACATGAAAAGTAAATTGGCCAGAGACGTGTGACGGTGGCTGGCCGTGGCGCGGCAGCATCAGCAACAGGAGCACTTGGGGAGCGGGCGGTGCGAGGGGCGGGTGCCGGGCGCTGCGTGCTGCGTGTGTGCCTGTGTGCGTGTGTGCCTGTGTGTGCGGGTAAGCATGACGTTTGAGGCCAGCCACTGCGGTGTGGTGGTGCTGGAGGGCGCGCGTGAGGAGGCGGGAATGGGGGTGGTGATGGTGATGGAATGCTATATGTCGCACGTCAAGAGGGCCTGTTGGCAGCAGCGTCGTCGCCGCCGCCGGGGGGCGTGCATGGAGGTGCATGGCGAGGGGGACAAGGCATGGTGCAGCTGTCCAGTCAAGGAGAAAATACATGTCTGTATGCAGCAACTAGCAGCGGTGCGGCCTGGCCAGTGAGAGGGGCGTCTGTGCTGCGCATGCATCCCATCGTGGCAGCATTGGCATTGGCACGCCATGGACGGCTCCCCCCCCTGAGCTCGGCGGCGTGGAGAAGAGCGGTGTTGGGGGGGTTGCAGGTTGCGTCTTGCACAGTGAGATTCCGATGCGCCAGCACGCGGCTTTTGTTTCTCCAACCTGGGCGGCGTTGCCAGGGCGGGCGCCAGCCTAGGGCTGCAGTAAGCGCGCCAAGGGGGGCTTTTTTTCTTTGCTCCATTTTTCGCGCGAGGGAGCCTGCGGGCTGGGCGTGTTTGCGGGCTGGGCAGGCGCAAAAAGAAGAGGTGCAGCGGGGAGGCGGCGGGCGAGGGCGAGGGCGAGGGCGAGGGAACCTTGGGGCAAAGAGAAGGGGGCAGGCTATTCAAGCGTCGGCCGTGGCGATACAAGCAAGAGGCGCACTAGGAGGGTAGCAGTAGCAGTAGTGGTAGGGGAGGGCAGGGGAGGCAGGGGAGGCAGGGGAGGCAGCGAGGGATGACGTTGGCGCCAGCCCGTGACGATCGGCCGGGTCTGTTGTCGAGGGCTCGGGCTCGGGTGAGGGCGTGGGTGCGAGAGAGCAGGCGGATTGCTCGAGGGCGGGCGCGCGGGCGGGCGATGGATGGATTTGCTGGTGGATGCGTGGAGGTGTGTTGCTATGCTCTGCCATGGCTACTCCCAGTCGGGCAGTGGCTAATTTTGGCATGCGCAGCCCAGCAGAGAGTCCCTGACATGGATGGCTTAGCAGGCGCGTGTGAGTGGTGGGCGCCCGCCTAGTCCGCGCACACTACCACGACTGCTAACCGTCCCAGCACCCTTCGACCAGCAGTTTGCGGCTGGCTCGCTGCCACGCCCACGCCCACACACATATACACACACGCACCCACGACGTGTGCCGGGCGGCCTGACGCGACGTCCGTCGGCGGGCGGGCGGGCACGGCGATGCGAGGCGATGCGAGGCGCGGCGAGTGCATGCGGGCGGGCGGGCGGCGGGCACTGAGGTCGAGTTAAGAGTCGAGCGCTGTGCAGTGTGCCCAAGAAGGCAGTTGACGGCCATGTGCCTGTGGGCGCTATGCCTCGTACGGCGCCCCGCCTTGGGATCGGTACCCAGGTCACGACACAGGCTCGGTTGGCTGAGTCCAAGTCTCCTTACTATGCCACCATTGCCATAGCCTTGTGCCCATCCGTGCTCCCTTCCTCATATACTCGCCAGCTCGTCGTCCAGCCGTTGTCTCCGCCGCCGCTCTGCCCTCGTCGACACATCCCACATCGTCATCCCCGCCCCGACCCGACCCCCCAGCCCAAGCCCGCTGGAGCTGCTGCACGCCGAGTGTCGCTCGTTGTTGCATACGTCTCCCTCCCCCGTGGACCTGCTGTCGCTGTCTGCTGTCGCTGCCGTTGCTGCTGCATCGCGCCTGGTAAGTCGCACCCCCCGACCCCCCCGACCCCCCCCCAGCCCGCGCGCCCGCCCGCCACACGCCCACCACGCACCCCCCCGAATTGGCCTCGCAGGCATCCAGCGCCCGCCCTCTGCATGCTTCTCAGGAACCCACTCGCACCTTTATGCCATGCCGTCCAATCCAAGCCCGGCTGCCCGCGGATGCTGCGGCCAGGTCCTCCCGTCACTTGTTTAATTCGACTCCTCGTACAGCCCGCCATGGCCTGCCTGCTGCCCTGGTCAGCACGGTCCCAACGTTGAAACGCCGCAAATACGAAGCGACAAAGTGCAACCCATCGACTCCACCTCAGCTCACCCAAGCACCTCTCGTCTTGCGCCTGCGCCTGCGCCTGCGCCTCTGCCTGCGCCCGCCCACCTCACCTGCCACCCAGCCTGTCTGCACTGCACACGTCGTCGTCGTCGGCGCGCGCGCCTGCTCTTGCTGTATGCACTGCTAATTGCCGCCGCTCCAGATATACCCAATACCCAGCCCCCCAGTCCCTCGCTCCTGCCCTAGTTGGCCCTACGACAGCTTCGGCCTTGGCATCGCCCTCTCGCCTTTCGCGCTCCTTCCTCGCCGCCGCCGCCGCCGCCGCCGTCTTCCTCCACCACCATCCCCCGGCGGCAGCTTCCTCGCATCGCTGCCTCACGAGTGCATGATACGGCCGCTCCTTCGCTGAGAGAGCCCGCTAGAGGCAGTGGCCCGACGCGCTCCCTGCACTCCCAATCCGCACACGCAGCCAGCCCAGCACCATGGGCAAGCCGGGCCTCGGGCTCTTCACAGCCCGACGCAAGTCGCAGGGCAACGTCTTCGAGGAGGTCGACATGGCCAGCAGCCCCGACACGTCGACGGCGCCTGCAGACTCGGGCGGCTTCCGCCTGCTGAGCAGGACTGAGGTCGAAAAGGCAAAGGAACAGCGCAAGACACAGGAGAAGGAGCGATCGTCCAAGTTCCCGCGCTTCAGCGGCTTCAGCCATGCGGGAAGCAAGAACCGCAACCAGTCAGTCGACGACGATTCTCCAGGCTCATCAAAACGGTAAGTCACTAGCCGCTAGTAATAGCGCCGGCCGGACTAACCCTTTAATTAGCGACAGCAAGTCAAGCAGTGGGACTCAATTTTCCAATTCGAGACCCTATGCCAATGGCCAACATGGGTCCACATCTACACTCCCTTCCTCCACCGACGCCAGTTCAGACGACAATCTCTTTACAAACGTCCCTCGTCCTGCCCTCTCGCAACACAACAGCTCCCCGGCTCCCCACTCGGTCACCGCCCTGAAAAAACAGCTTCCAACGCTGCCCAAGTCGAGCACGGGCGTGTCGTCATACAAAGACCTGTCGAGCTCGGGGTGGAACGGCAGAAACAGAGCCATGACGACCTCTAGCTACGCCAGCACCGCCGTCCCACCAAAACTCGAGGCCGATCTGAGTTTTGGTGGATTCGACGACGACATGTTTAGCCATTTGCAGCGAAAGGAGTCGCCCGAAGTTCCGCGCGAGCCTACGGGTCGCTCACTACTCGCGGAAAAGCGCACGTTCCAGGCAGAGCCCATCAAGATCAAACCCCAGTTCGACGTTGAGCCGGCCCTGAAGAGCTGGGATAGCCGCAATTCGACCGACAATCTGATGGCCTCTTCACACTCGGACGGTGACTCTTCACCGCCCCCACCGCCCCCTCCCCACAAATACTCGTCTTATGCCCCTGTCGCCTCGGAGAGCCCGACCTTTGACGACCCCGATGCCCACATCGTCCGTCGGTCGTTTATGGAAAGGAAGTCGTACCAAGACACACCTCCTGAATCCCAGCCCAACTCCATGTCGTCGTCATCCGCCAACTCTTACGAGACACCCTACTCTTCACAGTCCGTCACGACTTCGAGCACAAACACCAGCTCAACCCCAAAGGCTGCTGCCGCACCAGCATCATCATCAACACCAACAACAACGTCGTCTCCACAAAATAACAACAACAACAATACCAACAATGAAGAGGACCTGTTCACACCGACCAAGGCTGCCCCCAAGCCTGAGATGCCTACACCGCGAAAGTCTGCACCCATTCCTACTGCCCATAGCAGCAACAACAACTCGACCACCTCGCTGTCAGTCCCTGCCACCGATGCCAGTCGCCGTGTCATGTCCCAGGCCGAGTTCCGCGAATATCAAAAGACGCGTATGAATCAGCCACCGCCAGAGGAAAGCTCTGACGAAGAGGACTACGAAGACGAAGAGGATGCCATCAAGAGGCGACAGGAAGAAGAACTCCTGAGGCGTAAGAACCAGCAGATGCACTTTGCACGAGAGGCTATGCGACGTTCGACTACCGCTTCAGGACAAGCAGACTCTGGAGTCGACACATCGGGCTTCCCATCCGAGACATCGATGAAGGCCGAGGAGTGGGAGGATGAGGATGTACCGTTGGGCATCCTCGCTCAGCACGGGTTTCCCAGCCAAGCTCGCAACAAGCAGCCAAGCCAGCCAACCAACGCCATGCCCTCGTACATACCAGACCGTCCGGCTTCTGCTGGTGCCATGAGCCAACGTGGAGGAGGCAACATGGCTCTTCCAGCCTTTGCTCGAAATCTGCCACAAGACCCTTACAACAGCTCCTTTATTGGCGGCGGCCTGGTCCGACCGACGAACCGCGAGTCGATGGGTTTCAATGGCTTTGCACAGGGCCCCGCATCGGTCGCAGGTGACACGCCAGCTACTGGCCTGGGAATGGCCACGCCCATGATGTACCCGGACGCCAACCTGTCGCAGCCTTCGCTTGTCGACCAAATCCAGATGCGCGACATGACCAAGCAAAAGTACATGGGCGGTGCCTCGGCGAAGAAGCCCCAAGCTGGCCCCTTTACCGGCATGCTTGGACAGCAGATGAATGCTAGCAGCCAACTCTCGAGTTCTACACGCATGTCAACTATGCCCACAATGAATGGCATCAACGGCATGAATGGCATCAACCCCATGATGAACATGATGGGCGGCCAAATGCCAATGGGTGGCATGGGACAAATGGGTGGCATGGGCATGGGCCAAATGGGAATGGGTATGGGCATGGGAATGGGAGGCATGGGCCAAATGGGTCAAATGGGCGGCATGGGCATGGGCATGGGCGGCATGGGCATGGGATACCCAATGTCGCAAGGAAACGACTACATGCAAATGCAGCAAATGCAGCAGATGCAGCAGATGCAACAGATGCTCGCCATGCAACAAATGCAGCTGCAAATGATGCAGCCCCAGCAGCAAGATCCCCGCTTGTCCATGGCCATGTCTACCAACTCGTTTGCTGGCAGCGCCTCCATGGCCAATGGCGCAAACTTCCTCAACGTACCCAACCAGGGCCGCACCATGTCGTTTGCATCGGCCAGCGCTCCTCCCCCGCCACAGCAACAACGCACAATGTCCTTAATGGGCCCTCATCCAGGGTACACTCCCTCCATCGCACCCTCCGAGCGTTCTAACGTTGGTTTGTCCGCTAGGTACCGACCCGTCGCCAATCACTCCGATGCCGTGTCGAACGGAACCTCGATGACCCTCCAGGTCGCCGGAGGCGTCAACCAGAACCGAACGGGCGCCATCAAGGGGATACTGAAGAAGGGCAGTCCCGGTCCACAGGTCAGCGTCGCCGAGGTGGAGGACGCTGACGAAGACTGGGGCAAGATGGCTGCGCGAAAGAACAAATCGAGGGGCAAGGAAAATAACAGTTCCGGCCTCGAGGACCTTACTCGCGGTCTGAACCTATAGACGTTTTACACGCGTACACGGCCACGCACATATACGCATTTTCGATTTTCCTTTTCTTTTTTCCATAATTGCACACGCATGTCTGGAGAAACAAAAGCAACATAATACGGTTCTAATGGATATGGAGAACGCGATCTAGGAATCTCTTTTCCTCTCTCTCTCTCTCTCTTTTTACATCATCTCTGCACCCCTTTCCCCTCTTATCTCTTTTTATTTTAAAGAACCTATTTTTTCATCCACCCACTTTTCTTGTTTGAAAATCCATGGAGCAAGAGATTCTTCGTGGGGCGTGTATTTGTTTGTGTGTGTTGATGTACGAGGAAAGGGATGGGGCCCGAGTGGGCCTTTTTTTTGTGCAGAAAAGGGTAAACTTTGGAGAGAGAGAGACATGCATACACACACTCCCATTGCATTATCACCCTTGGGGAAACCTTTTTTCTGTTTTGTTCTATTTTGTTCCTGGGATTGTTGCATTTACACTCGGCGTTTTCTTCTTCTTCTTTTTCTTCTTCTTCGTACTTTTTTCTCAGTTCTAGTATCTGCTTTTCTACCTCTTTTTTTTTCATGGGAGTTTATATATATATATATACATCTATATACATATTTATGTGTGTCTGCAGGGAGTGTGTGTATGTGTGTGTGAGAGAGAGTGTTTTTTCTAGTGTATTCTTGTTTTATTTTTATTTTTTCTTTCTTGTAAAGCACACTCTGGAGGTGAAAGGGGGCGGGAGGATGTAGTTTCTAGGTCGCATTGGGAGTGAATATGAGAGAGAGAGAGAAAGTCAGGCACAATAAATCATGTTAGCGAATCTTTGTTTTTCTCGTACCCCTTTTGTTCTTGTTCTGCTGCATTGAGAGGGATAGTGTGTGCATGTGTGTGCATGTGCAGTGCCGTGCATGTATATATGCATGTGTGTGTTTATATGCCATTCAGATGCTCGAATAATACATAACTTTTTTTTTCTGTCTCTCTTGCTCTTTACTTTTCATAAGGGAAAAAAAATACTTATTTCTAGTTTCATCTAGAGCCATTGGTTTCCTCGGTGTATTATTAAAAGGGCGTTGGAAAATTATAGGCCCAATGGGTTGCGGCAAACAACAGATTAACAGATTAACAGATCAACAGACTGACTGACTGACTGACTGACTGACTGACTGACTGACTGACTGACTGGGTCTGACTGTGAATTAGAAGCTCAAGTAAGGAACGTATGTATATATATGTTTTATTCTTAGTTAGTAACTTGGGAAGTCGTGAAATATACTCCCCTTATCTATGTACATATCTTTCAACCCTATTTCGCCATCTCTCTCTTTTTCTCTCTCTCTGTCTCTATATATATATATATATGCACGTGCGTGTATATATTTCCAGATCATTAAAATAAAATAAGACAACACAAGCTACAAAAAAAACACCAGTTTCCCACGCTTTTACGCATCTCTACATACGTTCCCCAATATGACAAAAGTGTATCCGTTGTATGGCGTAGAATAGGCATGGTATGTAGGTATGTAGGTATGTGATTTCGACACGGCACGAGTATGTATCATAGACCGAATATTCCGTCCGAGTGCTTTAAAACTAGGTTGAATAAATAACACGGGATAAGAAGGAGCTGAGAATGTCCTGTTTTTTTTGTATTAGGTACGTTAGCGACGGATATGTGCGTCTTTGTGCGATTCTGGGGAAATCCGATTGGGGATGGATACTGTGTAAGTATGTGTGTGTGTGTGTGTTGCCCCCTTCATCCGAACTGCAAACACGACTCACTCTAGCGCAACACGACCCAGTCTAGCTCTGGAAACCAAAAAATAAGGCGTAGTTTTTTTTTCAGTATACGCCCAGTCTACAAGTCTTATTAGAAACAAAAAGGACAAGTAGGGGGGGGGAGACATAATGAATCTAAAGAAGCTATGTAGAGAGTGAAGAGAAAAAAGGTATCATGGCATTAGACTATGCTTTAGTCCCCTCCTCCTCTTCCTCCCCTTTCCCAACCTCGCTCTCTTCCTCTTCCTCTCTCTCTTTCTCTCTCTCGCTCTCTCTCTTCCAAGTAAAACAGAACGTTGCTTTCGTTTCTCCCACATCACCCCCCGATTTTCCCCCTAAATTTCGCTGAAATGCTTTGAATGAATGGACGGACAGGATAGAGATGAATGGAGGGGGGGGGGCGGTCCTTACGACCGCACAAAAGCAAGACGCCGCCGCATAACGCCGCGCAACGCCACCATTCGTCATATGTCCCATTATGTTGCATTCAATTCATGTCAATGGTCTTTCTTTCTTTTTGTTTTTTTATTTCTTTGTTTCTTTCTTTCTCTCTCTCCTCTCTGGCGGGATGGCTTGGTTGGACAACGGGGGGCGATTCAAACTAGCCGTCTCTGTCTAGGAGCTCTCTTGCAGCAATGATTTCGGCTTCTTCGTAGCCCTGCCAGCCCTTTTTTCCGGACTTGTAGTTTCGAATCATTTCGGCCAATTTGTTTGTTGCGATTTCCTCGAGCTTTTGGATAATGTGGGTGCTGGGGAGGGACACGTCGTCGTTGTCGTCCTGGGCGTTGCGTTTGGTGGGCGCCGATGCCGATGTTAATGTGGGGTTGGAGTTGAGTTTGGATGTGAGGAGCTTGAGGCCGTAGTAGCCGCGCAGATACGAGTCATTGAGCTCGACGGAGCGGCAGAAGTGCTTGAGTGCCAGGGCGAGCGAAGTGAGGTTGGGTGGGTTGTTTGCGGCGGTGGAGAGGTAGTGTAATGTGGCAATGTGGGCGTGTGCCTGCGGGGGGGATGGTCAGCATACACACCATGTGGGCAGTGTGCAATCAACTCACGGTCCAGGCATTGGGTGTGATGAGCAGCACCTCCTCTGCACAGAATATGGCCTGCCCCCAGGCGGCGGTGCTGGCGTACAGCTCGCTCGCCTCTGCCCAGGCCTCGGCGTCCGTGGGGCTGTTGTGCAGCAGCGCCGCAACCGCCTCAATGGCCTCGGTTGTCCTGCCCAGCGCCTTGAGCACGGCGACCCTCCTCTTGCGGATGCTCATGTTGGTGGGGTCGTCCTTGAGGATCTTTTCGTATGCGGCGTAGACCTTCTCCAGGTCGGCGTCCGACTTGGACGTGGCCTCATTGTAGATGCCGCGCAACGTGACAATGCGCTCGTTCTGGTCGCCAAATCGCGCCTCGAGCTGCTGCAGGATCTGGAGGGCGGCCTTCTCGTCGCCGGTGCGCAGAGTGGAGAAGAAGAGGTTCTCGTGAATGGTCCATGTCTCCGGGGTTTCCCGGGAGAAGAGCAGAGACAGCGGCCAGGGCAGGGCCGACGTGGGCGACTTGGACAATATGGGCGGCGCTTTTTGCGAGAGGGCGAGCGCAGTGGGCGGCGGTATCTGCGAGGGCGGCGAGAGCAGATTGGCCGGTGTCATGGTTGCAATGGGCGGCGTGTGAGGCGACAAGACGGGGTCCAGCTCTGGGTTGCAAGGTGTAATGTGGAGTTGAGCTGTGCTGGAGGCCTGTCCTAGCTCCGTCGGCGAAACTAGCGCACAGCGGGCGGTTCGAGGCTCCACCCGCTCTCCATCTCGACAGGTGCACGTCGTCGAGCCTGGTGACGGCCGGCCTTTGCACGCGGCCTTCTTCTCCCATTCTCGCCTTCTTCCCTCCTCGCCTTCTCCCTCTCCCTCTCCCCTCTCTCGCCTCCTCCTCCCCCTCATGCCTGCACTCTCCCGCCCCACGACTGCCCCCTCTCCATGATCATGCCTGCTGGCCCGCCATCAGCACGCTCCCGCCAAACTACCCCTCCTCGCGCACCCACACACTGGCACACACGACTGCGCCGCTTTGCCTGAGCGCCCGCCAACATGTAGGCTTTGCACTGCACCGTCCACGGCCGTGAGCAGGGTCGCTGATACGCGCGCAGGTTTGAAAAGTCTCTCTTCGACCTCATCCGAGGCCTGCGCAACCACAAAGGCAATGAGCGCGAATACATTGCCGAGAGCATCAAAGAATGCCGCAAGGAGATTCGCACAAACGACATGGACCTCAAGGCCACGGCGCTCATGAAGCTCACCTATCTCGAGATGTTTGGCCACGACATGTCGTGGGCCAGTTTCAACGTCTTGGAAGTCATGTCGAGCTCCAAGTTCAAACAAAAGCGCACGGGGTATCTGGCTGCTGTCCAGAGCTTTCGGAGGGACACCGAGGTCCTGGTGCTGGCCGAGAACCAGCTCAAGAAGGATATCACGAGTACAAGCCCCCAGTACATTGCTCTCCCGCTTGGCGCCATTCCCCACGTCATCAACCCGAGCATGGCCAACTCGGTCCTATCCGACTTAATACCCCGGTTAACCCACTCGCACCCCATGATTCGGAAAAAGACCGTCGTCACCCTCTACAGACTGGCGCTAGTCTACCCAGAGACACTGCGCCCGGCATGGCCCAAGATCAAGGAGCGCTTGCTGGACGACGACGAGGATCCGAGCGTGACGGCTGCCATTGTAAATGTCGTATGCGAGCTGGGATGGAGGCGACCACAAGACTTCTTGCCGCTGGCCCCCAGGCTGTTCGATCTGTTGGTCGAAGGGGGAAACAATTGGATGGCCATCAAACTCATCAAACTTGTAAGTTCTCTGAGGCGCGAGTATAGAACCTTGCTGACAGAGCCCAGTTTGCTACCTTGACCCCGTTGGAGCCCCGGTTGATTAAAAAGCTGCTCCCACCTCTCACTAAAATCATCCGGGAAACATCTGCCATGTCGTTGCTGTACGAGTGCATCAGTGGTATCATTCAGGGTGGCATTCTAGAAGCCGTAGAAGGTACTGCAGAAGGCGAAGAGGTCGCGAGACTGTGCGTTGGCAAGTTGCGCGGCATGATGATAATAGAGGGTGATGCAAACTGTAAGCTAAGATGCACTGAAATGCAAAGGTCGAATTCTCATCATTCTGCAGTAAAATACGTGGCGTTGCTCGCATTCGAGAAGATTGTTCGATCCCACCCCTACCTAGTCGCTCAACAGCAAGATGTCATTCTTGAATGCATAGACGATCCCGACATCTCAATCCGGATGCGTGCTCTGGATCTTGTTGTTGGCATGGTGAACGCGGACAACCTCACAGCCATTGTCGGGCGATTGATGCGGCAACTCCGCAACGCGCCCATTGCAACGGCAGCAAACGACCCAAACAACGACCGGGCCAGACTGACAGGAGTCACACCTTATGCCGACGACGATTCAGACGTGGAGGATAACCTGCCGCAGCACGAACAAAGGTCCAACCAACCGCCTCCTCTACCAGATGATTACCGCATCAGCGTGATTCGAAGGATCCTGGAAATGTGCTCCCGGGACACGTACAGCAACATTGCCGACTTTGAGTGGTACATTGATGTTCTTACCCAGCTTGTTCGCGTATCACCAGCTACAAAAGCAGCTTCGGCGATGGAAGAGGAGGAAGAATCAGAACATTTTGATGACATAGGCGCTGGCATTGGACTCGAGCTGCAAAACGTGGCTATACGGGTGAAGAGCGTCCGAGCAGAAGCTGTGGATGCTGCACAATCGCTTGTCCTGGTTGATCGACGAGACCAGATGTTTCCGGCTTCTGGTAACGGCGGTCAAGGCGTGCTCGAGTATGCTGGCTGGCTTGTCGGCGAGTACGCCCAATACCTTACTAGACCGGAACCCGTCATGACCTCCCTGCTACACCCCACTTCACTTCAGCTACCCTCGAGGACCCTCGCCATATACTTGCAGGCGATACCCAAAGTCTTCTCATCCATGGCTGGAAACGAGCGAATATCATGGACTCCAGAACGCAAGACTCTGATGTCTCTTCTCATGGCACGCATCATTCATTTTCTAGAGCCGCTATCTACACACCCTAGTCTTGAAGTTCAGGAACGTTCAGTCGAGTACCTGGAACTAATGCGCCTTGCTGCAGAAGCTGCATCGGGCACTACCGCTAGTGCGAACCAAGACGAGTTTACTGACCCGCCTCTCTTGCTTACACAGGCTATACCTGCTCTCTTTTCTGGCGCCGAGCTGAACCCTGTAGCCCCAGGGGCGCAACGAAAAGTTCCCGTTCCCGAGGACCTGGATCTCGACACACCCATCAACCCCAATCTGCAGCATCTGCTCTCTGCAGTCGATGCAGAAGGATTCGAGACAGAAGAAGACGACGTGTATGCAGCATACTCGGAGCCGGCTGCTGCGTATACAGAAGGACCAACTGTTGCAGCGCCGGCTGCAGACCGCCTGGATGGACAGCAAAAAGAGCCCACTTCGTATCAAAACGCTACAGAAGACGAGTATCTGGATCCCGACATTCTTGCTCGCCGAAAAGCAGAGCGCAAGGAGCGCTACAAAGACGACCCCTTTTACATTGATCCTGATGCAGACCGGGATAGCGGACCAGTCACTCCACTGAGTCGAATTGTTCGAGATGGAAACAGAGAGAACAACGAACTCGACATTGATTCGATACCGATCATGGAGCTCAATCTCGACACCAAAGGCTCATCTTCGTCTGAACACCTCCCGCGATCGCGAAGCCCACGGAAACCCGTGCGCAGAGTGGACATTATGGGTGACGAGACGCTTGGGCCCAACGAACCAGACGCATCAAGCAACAGAGAAGACATTGTACAGGCACGAGGGGGCAAGGCGAAGAAATCGCTTCTCGAGGTCGACAGCTCTGGCCTTGGTGCACTGAGTCTCGACGACGACGGCAGCGGCCCGACGAACCGCAAGCTCACGGCACTGGAGATGGAGCGCAAGGCGCAAGAAGAAGCAGAAATGAAGAGGGCGCTGCAAGAAGTGGAGCGCTTGCGCCTGGAAATGCAGCGCGCGAGCGAGAGGCTTCTCGTGAAGGAAGAAGTAGCGGTGAAAAAGAAGAAGAAGAGAAAGGTCAGAAAGGTGGCGGTTGAGGGCGATGAGCCGGATCAAGAGCCGACGGCCGAGCCTCAAACTACTGCTGCTGGTGCTGGCGTTGACGAGGCAAACGAAGAAAAGGCTACGCCGGTGAAGAAGAAGAAAAAGAAAAAGGTCAAGCCTGCTGAGGGGGGTGACGAGCACGATGCGGGAGCAGCAGAGGCGGGAGGTCAGGAAGAAGGTAAAGTCAAGAAGAAGAAAAAGAAGAGGCGGACGGTGGTTATGGATGAAGGGGAAGATGCGCCGGTGGAGTAGAAGTAGTTGTAGTAGTAGTAGTAGTGATAGTGTGACGAGTAATACGGCTTCGAAACACGTCTCACGTTATCTGCTCTTTTCCTTTTCTTTTCTCTCTTTCTTTCTTATTCTCATTTGTTGTTTGAAACCAGGTCAAAAAAAAAGACTGAAAATGTCATTTTTCGGTATCGTGATATACCAAAGGTACTCTCCCTCGTTTTGCAAATCGCCCAGACAAGAAACTACATTTCCATGCTCTCTCTCTCTCTCTCTCTCGCCCCTGTATGTTTGAACGCCTGGTTACCCTAAGTATTTAACGGCAAGAAAAAAAAGGAATATCAAGCAAGGCTTTTTCTCCGCCTCAGCCTCGTCTTTCTGCGACCTGAGCCCCCCCGCAACACTCGTGCCATGCACTTGTCCATGTATATACGCCGTGCCGTTCACGCGGTCATGAGAGTCCTTTTCTCGCTCCCTCTCGCTCTATCTCCCCGGGAATAACTCTAAAAGAAGAGCCTGATGACCTCGAACAACAGACCGCCGCAGAGTACGAAAGCGAGCACGACTACAAGCGAGCAGGACCGAAGAGCCAACTTTTCCCACAACAGCAAACCTCCGCGCTGCATCTCCGCAAAGCCGGCCTAGACCTAACTTAGTAATCACGCTGCGCCCTTCTCCCCTCCCCCCCCCTGGCTAGCCGCTCGCGCGGGAAAGGCAGCGAGGGCCCGTGCACCGCGGCCTCGAAAGCGAACACCTTGCACAACCATGGACCCTGGTTTCCTCCCAACGGCCCTTTGACACACACCCTCTCTCTCTCCATCTCTCTCTCTCTCTCTTTCCTTCTTTTCTCTCGGTTCATTTTCTCCAGGAAGACTAACGTCACTCCCCCCCCCACCCACACACACAAGTCCTCGACATTCTTTCCCTTTCCCGCTCCGGCTCCCATCCCCCCCCCCTTTCGGTCCATTCCACTACTCGCTATCTACGTAGCCTTCGGCCTCAGCTCTCTCACACCACCGACACGGACCGCGGTATCCACGCCCAACCTTCACAATGGTATGCGCAATTACACACATGCTACAATGCGTCTTTTTCATCTCCGTCTCTGCCCTGCGCTATATGCAATGACGGCGCGCGCATACTAGCACCCGAACCCAACTCAATCGCTTGAGCGCAACCACATACATACATACATACATATATGCATGTATGCTAACGAGCATGCTAGGCCCAAACGCCCCAGCAACGACAGGCAAACATGCGCTTTGCAAAGGCGCAGGAGAAGAAAATGGGAAAGCCCGATACCCAGGTTCCCGTGGTCAAGAAGCAAGGGCCGCAGAAGTCGCCTATTAGTAAGGCTTGGATTAGTACGTTCTTCTTCCATTTTCTTTTTTGTATCATTCGTTTGCCCCCCCCCCCCCCGCCTTTGGGGCTGAAACAGAATATGGATCTGTGCGAACGCGGAATGAGAGATGGTGAAGATATATATGCTAATGTGTTTTTTTATTTCCCATCACCCCCACCCACGCCCACGCTCGCGTTGGAGCTGAGACACAATTACGAAGCGCAGTCGCTGCAGCAAGCATACGGATTCTCTCCCTTGCAAGCCGTTTCTTCTTTTCTTCTTCTCCATTGTCTTTTTTTTCGCGCTCAATTGAGACGTCCCCCCTTCGGGATTGAGCTCGCGCGGGGCCAAACGAAGCGGAAACCCACACAGCACACAGAATGAACCGCTTCAGAGCAGGCGTGCCGATAACACGGTCACTATGGAAGCGCACGGCGATACAAACACGGCCAGCGCGACGACAAGTCCAGCAGAGGGATTTTGCCGCTGAGACACAACCGCCGCCGCCGCCACGCAAGGAGCCATCGCGAGCTGTACGTCATAGCTAGCCCTACACTATATATATATATTATATAAATTGGTTACGCATACTAACGTGCACACCAAATCGAATTAGGGCGCATACTACGGCACCTTTGGTTCCCCGCTACTCAAATGCTTCCTCGGCGCCCTCTTTACCTACCAACTCGCCTACTACCTGTGGTACAAGCTCGAGACCATCGAAGAGCAGCACGAGACGCGCTCGGAAATCGCAGAGTTACAGGAGGAACTGCGACAGGCAATTGAAAAGCAGCGACACTTTGCGCAGGAAAAGTTGGGACACGCGGCTGAGGTGGTGCAGAGGGAGAAGCACGAGTTGGGCGAGGCGGTAGATGCCGTTGTCGCTGAAGTCAAGGAGGGCGCAGATGAGGTGGGCAAAGGGACCAAGGCCGTGGGAAAGGTTGCTGGTGGTGGGTGGTGGCCGTGGTGATTTTGATGAACGACGAGGGCCATGTATGATGAATGGATGTATTATACCCGTTGGAGGAGTACTAGGTCTATATTGCTCATGGAGCTGCCGTCAAGGCCATTGCCAGTCTTGGCCTTCTTTCCTTTCCCTGAGTCCTAAGGACTCAATCTTACATGCGCCTCCTCGCTCTGAGTCTGTTCTCTTCATTCTTGCATTCCCTTCTGATGCAAAGGTATCGCGGTTCTCGAGGATCTTCTCATCGTCATGTGGCTCATGACGTATGTAGGCAGCTGTCACTAGATTCTTGGCCAAGTTATTTGCTTTGGTCCTTCTCCGCGGTACATGTCTCGACGAGACAGGTTCTCTGCATGTTGTTGCTCGTTATCTCGATAGTTCAGGACAATCACGTCGCTTTTGAGACGATAGATCGCGTTGCGACCTGACAATAGGGACAGTTCACACTGCCTTGGATGCAAGAATCTTCAGCCGAAGAATTCTCCAGAAACAAGCGACTCCCATGGCTTTCCCGTTTCCCATACACTCTTGATGAGTTTAGTAATCTTTCGTACCTATCATCAACATCAGCAAACGCGAATCTTGCAATCCCACAATCCTTGGATAACCGCTTACCTGATTCAGTCCCACCTGCTCCACTCCCTTTAGTCGCTCCATGATCTGCTCTCGGTGATCCTCATCCTGGGCTTCGCACCCAGCAGCAAACATTGGAAAGATGGAGCAAGCTTCTGCCGAAGTTCCCCTCCGAATCTTGCCCAGGAGCTCTAAAATCTGGCGAACTGCATATTGGACCTCAGGATCTAGGGATGTTTTCCCTAGGACACGGCGGTGCAGGGAAATCAAGCCAGCCCAGTGAAAGAGCTCATTCGTTGCATAAATCTCGGCGGCATCCCACGGGTCCTTGGACAACAGGCTACAGCGGTGGTTCTGGCTTCTGCGGGGATTCCGGTTCGATATGCCTTCTTCAAGCGACCGGCGTATCTTGATAGCCTCGTCGACAATATCGTGGCTGGGCACCCAGTCTGGGCGTATGTTGCCGTTCTCGTCAATACGTAGTGGTTCACAGCGCTTGGCTAGCTCAGAGATGCGAGCCAGACTTCCTACACAGTGCGTTGAAAAGCCCATCAAGCAATCAATCCCAAAGTCTTCGTCGGTGGATTCTTTTTCGATGGACCAGTAAAAGGACCCGAATGGCATGTCGTTTTTGTGTCCACTCAGCGAACCGACCACATCGAGATACGCGAACCATCGTGAGAGAAACCGGGTGGTGCTATCATTTTGATCCATGCCTTTGAGTCCCCCGCGTTGGATAATCATTTGGCGCGCCATGGTGAGGTGGTTTTGCCATGATACATGCACTTCAAAACTGTCCGACGAGATGATCTCCAAGCTCGCCATCATGATGACTGCAGCCAGCGTGCTGTCGGGAATGTCGTTAGGGTTTTCATTGAGCGTCTGCCGTAGCTTAGGGAATACGTTTTCCACCCAGACTGCGATCCGGTTTGCTGGCTCGGGGTGATGGAGCATGTGTGCGCGATGCGAAGCGCTATATGCAAGCAGGAGGCCCAAGAGGGGCTCGTCTTGTAAAGCCACTGTACATGTCAACGACAACAGCTTACAACACTCATAGACACTTACTTTGGGGCAGGATATTCCGCAATGGATTTCTCTCGCAGTCATGGGGGACCAATATCCTAGCTGTATGGTTAAGAAAGTGGTGAAAGTAAAGCAGGTTCATCTGGTTCTCTATGAGTAGAGGTGGAAGGGGCTCTAAAGTCTTGGCAATCCTAATGGGTACTGGACTTGCGTAGTAGCCACCTCTCTCAAACGCCATTGGCTTGCTTGGGGCTTCGGAGCTGTCGTACGGGGAATCGCCATTCAAGTCCATGGCGTTGTTTTGCGGACTTACTACGGCAATGGCTGAAGCGTCGTCGTTTCTCGGCGTGTCCAAGTCTGGAAGCCCCAAATCGTAGCCGTAGGTGGTCGAGGCTGCGTCAACGATGGGATATTGCCTGGCATCGTCACCGTGATAGCTACTCGAATACTGCCGGTCGCCGTGCAGATCGTTGACGAGAGACTGTACAGACACGCGGCGTGGGCCTGGAGATGAGACGGCCGAGTCTTGTGGTGTATGCACTATTCGTGTGGGAACTCCTTCAGAGCCTACTGATGTTGGTGTCAGAGGCTTACGGTGGGGGCTATGGGGGGGCTGGCAAACCTGTCCTTGGTGAATATGCATCTGAAAATACCGTTCCGGGCGATTCGATGGGGGTGCCATATTTCTGGCGCTGGAGCATGGGGTCTGTGGAAGAGGATTGGGAGGGGGGCGGCATTGGGCCATCTGCGGAAGCAAAGTTGGGACTACTCGAACTAAATGCGTCGAAGGCGGGTGCGGCAAATGATCGTGCGTCGAAAGTGGTTTGGTACTGTGCCTGGCTGTATGGTGCTGATGACGGCACAGCGGCTTGAAAAAAAGGGTTGCCGTCGACGGGCTCTGGACTGGTGACGATGTGTGGTATCGGTCGCATCAGCGTCGGGTCAATGGCGTGGGTAGATGCGGAGAGAGACGCGTGTGAGGCAGAGCGTGCATGCTGATGCTGGCTCTGTGCTTCTGATGGCAGAGGAAACAAGCGTGAACTGTCGTCTTCGAATACAAAGGCCGACTCGTAGGGACTTGCCGAGACGCCATTCGAGGCATCCGAACCGGAGCAGATCTTGTCCTGGCGCGAGCGGCCCCCCCAGTTGAGGCGGATGCTGTAGTCGCACTTTTCGCCCTGCCGCTGGCAGTTTGTGCACGATGGCTTTTCCTCTCCACTGGCGCAAGGTTACTTATTGCCGGTTCCGGTAATAGACGGAGCGGGCAGCGAGTGCTTACCATTTTACTTTTCGAGACTTGCACGGCCTGTGTCGCGTTAGTGCAGGCGCGAGCAGGCGCAGGAGTCACGGAATTACCAGCAGCCGTTGCGTGACCGTCGTTTCGGCTCGACGCCTGGCTTCTTTGGGCGAGGCATCGTGTCGAGCGGTTGGCCTTGGGGCGGAGAGGCAAAGAGTGCAGCGACTCTCTGCGCGATGGTGGCTGTCAGAAGAACGCTAACGGCGGCAGTTATACGGGGCTACATGAGGGCAGAGCCATCTAGAGTGGTCTATGCAAGCTGAGGAGCTGGTCAAACAGCGACAGGCGTGGGATACACCAGGCTTCCTGGATACACACTGGCGAGCGGACGCTGGGCTGGGCGTGCCGGATGCGTCAGCGCAGCATGCCAGAACCGGACATGGTGCAGCTAGCCAGAGGAACGCATCGTTGTCTTGAGTCGCTTATCGTGCACAGGAGACCAGGGCTTGCGCCTTTTCCGTGGGCGCTGCAGGGCGCGGGCGGAGGAGAGAAATGGGAAGAAGGAGCGATAAGATCCCCCGCACTTGGCGCGCCCCGCCAATCACGCCCGCCGGACCCCGGCCCGTCCCCCGGCCCTGGCCTAATCTCGGCATCATCAGCACTGCCTCGCGGCAACCCCTTCACCTGCACTGCACCCGCCGCAGCGCTGCAAATGAGCAATTTGGACAACTGTCAGATGGATCAACCTTGCTAGCCAGCGAGCGAGCTATACTACCTGCATGCTACCCTTCGCCACCACCGCCGCACCACTGCTTGCGACTGCACACTGCTATACTGCTGGTACCATACAGAAGCACTTTATTACTATATACTGCTGCTACTACGACTACTACTACTACTACTACTACTATACACACACACACTACCTACTACCTCTGCCTGCGACGACGCCCCAGAGGAGAGCGCCCACCGCACCACGTACACACCGACGATAAGACATAAACCGCCGCCAATGACTTGGAAAGGAGAGGCCTGGTGTTCCTAGTGAGATCCATGATTCATGGCCGAAATGCCTTCGCCGGAGACTTCCACTTGGCCTGCACACGCCCCGTCTCCATGCCGCTCGTCTACTCGATGCTGATCTTGCGTGGCTGGGGAGCCTGCGCCTTGGGGACCACGATGCTGAGGATGCCGTTCTTGAGGCTAGCCTTGACGGCATCCTGATCGACGCGGGCCGGGAAGGCAAAGGAGCGGTGGAATTCGCCAACCGAGCGCTCGCTGACCCAGTACTTGGCCTTGGACTCGTCGTGCTTGGCCACCCCCTTCTCTTGCGACTGCTTAGCGACCTTGTTGTTGGACTCGGCGGGGTCGTCCTCGACCTTGGGCTGGTGGTGGCCAATCTTCTTCTGCTCAGAGTGCTCGCCGTTCTCGATGAAGCCCTGTGGGCGCTGGCCCTCCTCGCGGACGTGCTCGTGCCGGCCCGAGATGGTCAGCGTGTTGTTGTCTGTCCACTCGATGTTGATGTCCTTCTGCTCCACCCCGGGGAGCTCGCCCTGCAGTTCGTAGCCCTCCTTGGTCTCCTTGACGTCGAACTTGGGAGTGAAAGACCGGACGCTCTCAAACTGGCGGTCGAGGTTGCGGAATGCCTGGCGGTCGTATTCGTCGAACAGGCGGAACATGGGCGCAAATTCCTGAGTGAACCTTGGGAACAGAGACATGGTTGCTGGAGTGTGCGAAAAGTGCCGGACGCTTGTGCTTGTAGGCTTGGTGATGCGGTTGACTTGTCGTGGGATTCGTGAGATTGTTGAGCGCAGTGATTGCATAAGACTTTTTGGTGATTGTTGTTGTTGTTGTGATGCTGGGCCACTGCAGCTGGCTCAAGGGCTATATATACCCAGGATGCGCATCTCTCGAAACATGGCGACTGCCCTCCGCACACTGTTGTCCCGTCGAGCGCGATGCTGCGCGAAGGCTCGGAGACGGTGCGGGCCGGTTCTAGAGCTTTCGAGCCTGGTGTTTGCCGTCATCCGCACGTAACTGCATCACACCACATGGGAATATCTGGCAATTGCGCTTCTTGGGGAGGGGAAATGCCATGTTGCGTGTCGTGTCAACCCCGCTCGCAGTAACAACGCGCATCCGCTGGAAACTTCCAACGCTCAGCCCAGATCACGTGATCGAATTCAGCCAACATTCGCGCGCCACGGAGGCAAAGTGGATGCGATTTCTGTCCAGCCCGGTATCACCAGACTCCCAAAGCAGTGCCGGTTGCGTGACGATCGTCTTGGGCGATGCACGAGTCTTTCGATGTTTGCGTGTCGTGCGCGTCCAGAAACCATGGCAGCACGCACATTGCTTAGCCAGGCCACCCAGCGTCAACTTTCTTCTTGCTACCCACTACCTGTGGATATCCCGGATGCCTGGCTCTGACCAAGATTCCAGCTGGTTCCTTCCGCGGCGCAGCAGGTACTCAATGGTCCCAAAGTCTTTCTTGCCAACCTCTCGGTGCTTGTGGAACTGAGACCTAGCAGTCACCACCCGTCAGCAGCATGCTAAATCCCCATCAGCAGATGGTGTCGCACCTTGCAAAGTCACGGAAATTCGATTGCGATTCCTGGGGCCGTGTCAGCAAGGTGCAAGGCGAAAAAAACTGCGACCGACATACGGCTGGTTTCTTCCTCACGGCTCGCAAGCACTGCCGATAGAGTGCCAGTACGTCTTTCTGGAGCCCAGTTAACCTTGCCATGATGCCGTAGATTGGGGATTGTGACGGTCAGGCGAGAGAGCAATTGGCGTTGAGCCTCCAAGCTTGCACAGAATGAACTGGATCCTTTGCCGCCAGGTCATGTCTCTAGTCCTGAAACGGTTAGCGCGACACGATCTTGACAGCAGTATCCATGATGCAATCATCGTGAACTGCGACGTCGCGTCAGTGTAGCAAGAGTACAACAATTGTTTGAGCCTTCATGCCTCATCTCCGATGCATAGTCAGTGACTGCTTCATGCGAGCACGTGATCTACATTGTGTTATGCTGATAAACTCTTGATATATTCCATGATGATCACAAAAAAAACACCTCTCATATGTCTAACAATGCAAAGATAAACCAGTATCTGAAAATCACTCAACCCATTGATTCCCCTAGTGCACTGCAATCTAGTGGGAACAATGCTCAACGCCTTTGACCGGATGAAACGACTAGTTCCTTCAACGACCTCAACGTCGGGATACTGTTTAGCAACCATAGTGTGATCCGTACAGAGAAATTTGCCTCCCAAATCAAATACTCGGCGCCTTGGATTAGGCGCCCAGCTTGACCTTGATGTCGTGTGGCCACACAAACCATTGCTTGTGCAGATCCCACTCTTGATTCGCGTCCTCAAGCTCAATCTACTCAGTTGTCAGCATAATCCCCAAGAGCAGCCATCTGCCAAGTATCAACCTACCTGGTACTTTCCAAAGACGGTCGCAACAACCTTGTACACTTCGACAAGCGCAAGTGGCTTGCCAACGCAAACTCGGTTTCCGCCACCAAACGACATATCGGCATCTTTCATCTTCCTGATGCGAGCATCGTAGGTAGCTTCGTCTTCATTCTCGCCACACATCCAGCGTTCTGGGCGGAACTCGTGTGGCTTTTCTCCATAGATATCCTCCTTGTAGTGAATGACCCACGGGTTCACGCCAACAATGGTGCCAGGCGGCAGGGTCGTTCCATTAGACAAGGTGAGGCCTGTAGAAGGCACGACGCGTTCGAACAACTGGCCAACAACAGGGTGCATGCGGAGGCCTTCTTTGATGCAAGCGTCAAGGTAGGTCAGTTTTTCAATGCTGCTGTAAGGCGTGGGGTAAGATAGACAGGCAGAGCGAAGTTCTTCGACCAGGCGCGCCTTGCTGGCAGGAGACTTCAGAATGTGATAGAATATAGCTTTGATCACAATGGCAAGAGTATCGGCTCCACCAAGGACCTATGGAAAGACATGATTAGTATCAGTGTTGGTCTAATAGAGACGCCAGACGCTAGTGGCGTTCTCTTTGCAATACGGCTGTCGATTACTCACATTAATGATCATGTACCCAATGACTTCGTTATCGGTAACAGCATCAGGATTCTCCTTCTTTGCCTCGAGGAAGCCGTTGAGAAAGTCATTCTTGCCATTTCCAAGTTCGGGGTTCTGCATGCGCTCCATAAAGCGCTCGACAGAGAAACCAGCAGCGACAGAAAAGTCGTCAAACTTGTAGAGGGCACGGGGCCACTTTGGGTTCTTACCGAGCCATTTGTCTAGAGCAGGGATTTGGCCGACCTGGTGGAGATTAGCATTTACTCCAAACTGTCGTGTGGCTTGCGACGAGTTGCAAAGCACGCATGTCTACGTACCACGGAGAAATAGCGCATCACCCGTTCCGCAGTGCCTAGCCTGGAGGTTCACGGGTCGGGTTAGTATATGCAATCACGTGCGTTTCGAGTTAGAAGGATGAAAGCCACTCACATGTCACCAATATCCTTGCCTTGGTCCATGAACCCGATACGCTGGCTCCAAGTCATGTCACCGAGAAAATCCCACGCGAAAAAGGAAATCCAGTCAGCGATGTCGCATGTCTTGCCACTATTGGCACCCTGGATGAAACGCGATTCGAGCTGAGCACACAGGGTACGGAGGTCGTTGTCCATGATGCTTTCGATTTGAAGTGCGTTTTGAAGACTGTAGAGCTTTTGGACAGGCCTGACAGCTTTTGAGTGAAACTCATTGCTGCGTGTGCTGAAGATGTTTGGGATAAGGTGGCCATCTTGAAGAGCATCGTTGACGGACCACGGGGCTGTTAGCATGTCACCTGTTTATCAATACAATTGTCTCTGTCTTACGTAGTAGTCGCTCTTTTTTCAAAGTTAGCAGTTGTCTACCTCGAGTGTTTCAGTGCATCGTTAGCTTGCCTTTACGAATGTTCCTCGGGTGTTGTAGATGGTCTTGATCAGACTCGCATCGGCGATGCTGACGACATTGGGGCCCAGACGAACAATGTCACCATGCTCTTCATGAAGCTTCCGCTGCGTCTCAATGTGAGTCTGCCCATAGTGGTTGAAAAAACGCCAGATGTTGGAGAACTTGGCCAAGAAGGGGCCGGGAATGCTCTTGAGCGGGGATTGGAGATAAGCGAAAACGTATTGGGTAATGAGAAAGACTACCCCAAGGCCGAGGGCCTTTACCAACAGCCCGGTTAGTCCCATGGTTACACGACGGTGCTGACCTGCAGTGTGACTCGAGTTGTGGAGGGGGATGAAACAAAGGGCCCAGGGCAGCAGAAGAGACACGAAGGAAATGGCGACTCTAGAAGAATGGGCTGTTCCCACCATGTATGTGTATGCACCCAAATTGGCCTGAGGGGTGATAGGTGATAATCCCGGCTAACATGCCGTCGCCATCGTATGGCGTTTTGGCGTTTTGGCGTCTCGCCATTCCAGGAGTGGTGTACCACTGTAAGAGGTGAACTCTGCCGCGCTCGCTTTAGAGCTTGCATTACTCCACTCCATGGCCGTTGGCCGTCTGATGATTGGACATGTCAGGGGGAGACATTTCGGGGAGACACTCCTCTTACGACGCTCTGGGCATGATGGGGCGAGTCGAAATGGGCGCGGGTTATACAACCTACCGATAATTTGTTATTTGACCTACCGATAAGCCCGCTAAGCCAGAGTCAGGCATGGCGCGCTTGGCTAAAACATTAGTGGTATTCTTTGTAAGTTACAGTAATATAGCTACTATGTTAATAGAAATAGAGTAATGCTGCGATAGAGAGATAGAAATAGTGGTGGTAGAAAGTGAAGCTGGAGAACTAGCTATACTGCTCGTTTTTTGGTGTTCTATATAGGCTCCAAAACTGGCTCGAATACGGGCTCCCATATGGGCTCGAATATGGGCTCCAAAACGGGCTCGAATATGGGCTCCAAGACTGGCTCGAATATGGGCTCCCATATGGGCTCCAATATGGGCTCCAATATGGGCTCCAAAACGGGCTCCCATATAGGCTCCGAAACTGGCTTCCATATAGGCTCAAGAAGATGCTCGTAGGCCTATACGCACCAGTCACTATGTAAGAAGAGAAGAAAGTATTAAATTCACCTTCTTAGGGTATAGCTGTAAGCGCTAAGACATTTTATTACAGTACTAACTATATACAGTTGGATTTTACAACGCTAATGCATACCCCTGCTTAGCGTGCTTATCAGTAGGTCAAGTAACAAATTATCGGTAGGTTGTATAACCGCCGCCGTCGAAATGGGGCGAGTGCCTGCTGCTACCAGGGGGACCCATGGGGGCGACGCTGCTGCGTCTGCCGTCCGTGGGGACGGATAGGTACGTAGTACTCGTAGATCGCATGCCGACAACATGGCATGCCATGGAGAGGTACGTATATGTATATCTTAATATCCACCAAGGCGGACAGGCCCTGGAGAGTGATGCGGCGACATGGCTCGTCTTTCTGCATTTGGCGTTGGTTGGGACTCAGCGCTGCCAGAAGCAACGTGTGGATAAGTAGGCGACAGCTGGCCCCTGGTCGTGTCGGCTTAAAAGCGGCCCCAGTGGATGATAGCGCGTCAGTACAACGGCCCGAGGCGGACGGGGCCTTCCTAGGCTTACTGGACCTATTACCTACAGTACTTTTTGCCAAATGTCGGCGGCGCCCAATCCGCGGGCTAGAAGAAATAAATGACCGATGTCTTATAGCACGGTATGCATTACTCCCTCTCGGTCCCGCGAATCGAGCCGTTCCCCTGACATGTCGAGTTTTTCGCATCGCTCCACGAGTTCTCGCGGCACAGATACTGGGCCGAGTGGGTAAGGGGAGCGTGGGAGGGGCGGGATGCGAAATACGATAACAGGAATGTCTTCCCTTGCAGGGCAGGATTCCAGCAGCCGCAAGTCCTCTTCCGTGTGACATTCCAGTGGCGTTACAAATGAGGATGACGGATGGAATCCCTGGGGGCTTGCATCCTTTTCTCGTGCGTCGTTCCTTTCTTTTTCTTTTTCTCTTTTGCTTTGGCTCCTTTGCACAGATTGGGGCCAGAGGTGGCGGTGAACGCAAGGCAGCGCACCCCCGTATGCAGTTGACAGTGTGTAATTATTCGGAGCGATGCTCGACGGAACGGCGCTGTTTCATGGGCGCCGTCAGAAAGAGGGCCACGGGGATCCGGCCGTGGCAGACGGCACGGGACATGTCGGACGGGGGGGGGTTAACGAGCGGGGGCGCGCTTGGACTTGGGCGGCATGCTTCACAAGACAACCCACGCGTGCCGTCGGTAATAGATAATACTGTACATAATAGACGTGCGAGGATGATGCCGTGACCTTGGCTGGGTGGGAGGGGATGCCAGGCGGATTGGCCGGGGCTACAGCAACGACATCCGGCGCTAAGTAGAGGCCAGTCAGGCGCCGCATCCCCTTCACTGCCGCAACAAGACTGCGCCCAAAAAAGCTACCCACACGTCGGGCCAGTTGATCGCTCGCACACGCACACACACACGTTAGGCTAAGCCTGGCATCCACGGCCGTTGCCTGGTTGGAAGAATCATGCAGCAAGACTCGAGCCACCGCGTCACGGAGCTCCCCCCAAGCGCGTCAAGGGGAATAGTGCCGAAAAGAAAAAGCACACTTTGCAGGCCCTGGCAATGTCTCGGGGCCACGCGATTTGTCTCGCTTGCATGGCAGGCACTCCTTTTGATCTGTGATGGTGGTTACGAGGCTCCAGTGATCTTCCAGGACTCTCCGAGACGTTTGCAACTGTATTTTTCTTCTTCAGCATGGGGGCATTTGTCGGGTCGCCATGAGACATAGATACGGCGACGCACTCCAGCCCTTTGCAGCGCGGTCAGGATATTCTTATTACTTGCTGAGTCTTGAGCTCGGGAGTCTCTTCGCCTCGTTCCACTCCCTCCTCCACGCACAGCCCCGATCCTAAAAGTCGTGCTTACGCCGGTTTCTCACCCATTCCAAGACTTATTTCCTTGTATTAAGTCGTCGGCCTACGCAAAAGTGCCTCAGTGGGGATCGATAAGACAAACCTAAATCTCGTTTCTTGCTCCCGCCGGCAGAACCGTTGGTGGAACGGCCAGCCACCACCATGGGCAAACCATCCGACTTTGCAGACATACTCAATGGAGTCATGTGGTTCCAGGTCTTTTTCGCCACCCTCTTCATCGCCCTGCGACTCTACACACGACAATTCGTCGTGAGGAATTTCGGGTGGGACGATGTGTTGATGTTGGTCAATCTGGTAGGCTCACTGCAGTCACTTCACGTCTTCGCGCACAAAGGCAGTCTTCGCTATCCATTGCGTGAGACTGCCGATGCCTAGCAATGCCATTTGCTGATTTGCATAGGCTACTTTTATTGGCTTTGTGGCCTGCATATCCGTTGGGATCCAATACGGCGTTGGGAAAAAGACGGCTGAGATCATACGTCTCGATCTGAACTACTCAAAGGCCATCATGTGGGAAGCGATTGGCCAGGGCATCTGCATCATGGGAATCGCCGCCTCCAAGGGCTCTGTGGCGCTCTTTCTGCTGCGCATCGTTGTCAAGACATGGCATGTGGCCATCCTCTGGTTTTGCATCGCGACCACTACTATACTCTGCATCATCACGACGACGCTGCTGTACACCCAGTGTGTACCAGCGGCATTCCTATGGGACCGTACAATCAAAGGGGGCTATTGTTGGCTCAACTTCACTCGAGTTGGTCTGACCATGGGCGCATGGTCCGCGTCTATGGACTTTGTCCTTGCTATTCTTCGTAAGTGACCAACCTGCCCATCACACGTATGGACCCTAACGACCCTTATCAGCCTGGCATGTTCTTATGAGCCTCAATATGAAGAGGAAGGAAAAAATCACCATCGCCGCGGGTCTTTCACTCGGAATCTTTGCGGGCGCATGCTCTGTTGTCCGTACTATTGAGCTGCAGTCCCTGAGCTCAGCCGATAACTATGTCTACGACACCGCCAGCATGCTTCTGTGGTCTTCTTCCGAAGTCTGCATGACCATTGTCTGCGCCTGCATCCCCGTCCTCCGTCCACTTTATGTCCGCGTCAAATACGGTTCGCGTGGCGAGTCATCCAACAAGGACTCTTATCATCTCAAGGAATACTCAAAGTCGAAGACCAGCCGTGGAGGCAACAGCTCACATGCCAACAAGATATACATGGGTCCTGGCGAGAGCGTGCTCCAAACCACTGTGCGGATGGGCAGCGACACGGCGAGTGAGGAGACGATCCTGCGAAACTGCAACGAGTCGAGAGGAAATGCAGGTACATCGTTGGATTACGGCCCGGGCCACAAAGAGGCCAAGGATATTCATGTTACCACGACGGTAACTTCGAGGGACGACTATGTATGAACCAAGGAACCTTCACGACCCTTGATGGCACGCTTTCACGACACCGCTTTCCTCCGTATATATAATTTCTTATACATAAATGTAAATAGAATAAACACCCGTGTTGTATACTTTCCATGAAGACTCTCGTCTTGGTGCGCCTGTTCACGAGGGTAACGTCACTCGCCTCACATTCACAGTCTGCTCTATTTTCAACACTTGGCCCTGCAGCGTGCAGAACGTAGGCACAAATCCTTGTACCAATAGGTAATCTAACGTATTGATCGGTGTGTCAGGCGCATATGTTGGTGCCGAAAATAAGACCGCGTATCACACGAGCACGAATGCCGTAAGTGGTCCTGCTGCCCCCCTGTGCCTGTGTGAACTATACCAACTTGGCGGGTTGTTGGGTTGAAGTGATCAGCAAGGTTGGGAAAAAAGTGTATCGCGATCGTGCCGTAGATCGTGTTATGTACGTACATATTGCGTGCGTAAGTACAGCAAAAAGGTTGTTTTTTCCCGCCTCCCCGCCGCGGCCACCAAACCTGAGCTTTCTCCACACATCCAGTTTCACGCAAAGGGCAAAAAAGCACTCTTGACGCAGTTCTCGGAATCCCACCGTGCCCTGATAAGTAAAGCTGCCGGCGACCATGTTTCTTTTTCAAAGACCCTTTTCGGACAGCAAGCTGTGAGGAGAACATTGGCATCGCCGCTCTAAGCGCATCTAGAACGCGGCTCCGCATTTCGGGCCCGCGATCATCGCAGGTGCTACCCCTACGAACACCTACCCTGGTTTCTCTTCTTTTTTGCCCGCGGAGGCAAGTGAGGTGGACATGTCCAACGGCGATCACAAAAGCAGCTTCGAATATCGTACGATCACATGTGCTAATGAAGGCGATCGCTATACATAGGCGAGAAACCCCCTCAGGAGAGCTGCGAAAGAAATAAACACAGCAGAAGCGAGGCGTGTGTAACGGGAACAGCGATCAACTAACGAGATGAACTTACAAATCTTTCTACACGAGCACGAGTGTTGGACAGCCAACAAAAGCAACGTAATCGGCCTGGTGGGGTTGCATACGGAGAGTCGCTGGAAGAAAAAGCATAGGACGGCGTCAGCCACGTGCAGCCATGTGTTACATCTTCTCCCACGCCTCGAGAAACTTCTTTCAAAGCCACGGAAATGCCAAGATGACTGTGGCTACCTTAGTCTGCATGCCGAAGCGAGCAGTGTATATTCTTCTGTCCCCCCTATATCCTTTTTCAGTTTGCCGTTCCGAGACTACACATGTGCTCCTTCATGCGGTCCCACTTTCTCACCTGCACCTTCTTTTGCGTGTTTTGTACATGGATCAATTCGATAGTGTGTGGGTAGCTGTTAAGTGGATATGAAGTTTGCAGATACGCGGGGGATTCTGTATATCCTGCATACCAATATATGCAGTATTTGACACAGAAGGCAGATGTATTTTTGGAAACGGACGAAAACTTGCACCCAAGAAATGGCAAAATACTACCGAAGTGGTTTGATTTTAGTCGAAATCTAGTGTTACAGCTCTCATTCCTACCGAAGCATGCAACCTCTATTCTAGACTTAAGGCGGATGTTATGAGCGATTTTGTAGAGGTACTGCTACTCGACATGGACCGGCCATGAAGAACGCTCGTCTAGAAGTAAAGCTTCATTAACGTGAAGGCATAACTGAGATACGGAGTTTCATTATCACTAAGTGCTCAATACTCTAGATAAAGACTATAAACCCCCACCCACCCCCGCGAACCGCCATCAGATACTGTGTTCCACTAGTAAGCTGCGCACCCCACCTAACTTGACGCGACTCTCTACGCGATAGCTCTACAACAACATAAGATAATAGAATACAATCTTGTACATAGCTAGTCTATTACTGTCTACATTAAGTCCTAGTGTGTCCTTGGATATGGCACTTTGTACACGTTGGTGGTGCGCGCTAACGTCCCTAAGTAGCCTGAGCTTGTTCTACCTCCGCGACCACCCTTTCTGCCTCTATAGCGAGCTGCTGGCCTTGCTAGGCCTGTAGCGCTCCTCCACGAGCTATATATTGACGTCGCTAGTCTCTCCTACGTCGCTGGCGCTGACTAGCTGTACGAAGCTTCCTATTCTCCTCTGCGAGTATAGTCGCTAAGTTCATCGCAAGCTGACAACCTTTGACAAGCTGGCGTATAGCTTGGCTTGTTGGGCTCTGCGAACGGCGGTGAAGGAGGTCCTTTACGTGTTGAGCCTGCTTTTCAAGCTGCGCTATCGTACGCGGTGTCTCTGCGGTCCATGCGACGTTGTTGTCTGCTGTTGTCCCTGGTGGAGACGGCGTACGGACGACAGTGAGCGACGATAGGACGCGTTCTAGACAGGGAGGGATAAGCCCTGTCGCCTGGAAGCCTGCCTAGATGTTCTGCTGCGTAAGTACTGCTGGCCGGATCCGTGTATAGGCGGTAAGGAAGTCTATCTTGTCAATATGGTAGACGCCTTGGCGAGCTAGCTCCTGGATCTCGTGACCGTACGCTCGCTTGAGCGGGGAAAAGCAGCCCACATCAAGTGGCTGGAGCAGGTGGGAGGTATGGGCTGGCATACAGAGAGTGATGATCTTGTTCTCTGTGCAGTACTGGTCGAACTCAGGCGTGGCGTGGCTGCTATGGCCATCTAGGATAAGAAGCCGGTAGACTCCATGCGTACGAGGCGCTGTATATCTATTAAAGTGCTTTACCCACTCTACGCCGAGCTCATCTGTCGTCCAGCCGTTGTCTGATACAGCGAGCACCCAGTCTATAGGGATGTGGTGGTACCAGCTAGCCTGGTGCTGCTTACCAGACAGGAT